AACCGGGGCAGGATGCTCCCTCTGTCCCCGGGGCCGGTGAAGGTGACCCCTGATTCAGGGAGGGGATCAGGCCCCATGGTGCAGCAGCGACTGGAGGGAGAAGATGTGCCCAGGCTGGTGATGTCCTCCACCCCACGGCACCCCTGGCACCCACTCACACCCACCCGTCCCCTCCCCATGTGGGAGCCCGGCTCCAGCCGAGCTGGGATGTGCCGCTGTACCCTTGCCAAAAGCCTCAAGCCCCAACTGAGCGCTCAGGATGAATTTTGTGATGACCTTGGCCAGTCTCTCCCCTTCCTTAGCTGCAGCTTTGCTTTTTTAAAAAGTCATTAAAACTTTTAGCTCCTTAAAAACTCATTAAAACTTTTAGCCCCGGCAGTTTCCTACACCCAGCTTAACCATAGGCTTTGGTGACAGCGGCAGAGGAAGGGGTCCCTGGAGCAGAGCTCAGAGCTGGCAAATCCCCTCTTGTCCCCCCCCATCCTCCCTCCTCCACGCAAGTAATGAAGAGGAGGAAACCACCGATCCCAGCCTTTGTCTCCCTAATAAAAGGATTATTCAAGTGAAGCAAGGAGGAAGCCCCAAAGCCTGTAGCAAAATCTCCTTCCTTTATGACTTAAAAAATTTAATAAAACCAAGCAATATTTCTAAGTTGCGTTTGTTGGAAGCGTAGGATGAACCTGCAGACAGACAGACAGACGGACGGAGGGACACATCGCTCACCCAGGAAGGCGGAGGGGGAGACGGTGCCGTTGCTCCTGGCCACCATGACGCTGATGCCGGTCTCCACGAAGGGCACGGAGAAGTCCACGATCTCGGAGCGCTCCTCGTTGATGGTGAGGGAGCCGATGGCCATGTCCGCACGCTTATAGTACACCTGGGGATGGGGCAGGCGGTCTTGGGATGGGCAGATGGACAGGCAGAGGGACCCAGACACCTTCCCCAGGCATCTCCTCATCTCCAGCATTTCCAACCTTAACATTTGTCTTTTTTTTTTAAATATTAGCTTCTTAAATGACCAGTGACACAAACAAAACCAGCTGTGGGGTCATAAATGTTCATCTGACTCCCCCCCTGTTCTCCTCCACCAAACCTTGCCCATAAGCTCATGCCAAGCTGTCCCCTGCCCAGAGTCCCCCCACAGACACCCTGACCCCATCTCCAGCAGGAAAGCCCCAGCTCAGGGCATGCTCCGGGCAAGCACTGCCCCTCGGGGTCTGGGCCATGCCCACCCCTACCTCACCAATCATGCCGTTCCAGACCCCGCGGACGATCTTGCCGTGTTTGCCGTTGGTCACTAGGTAGAGGTCGTAGGAGAACTTCACCGTCTTGGCCAGCTTCTTCAGGATGTCGATGCAGAACCCCTTGCAGCACAGCTTGGTGTAAGGATCCACGAGGCCATCGCCACTGAAACCACACCGGGAAAAATGGGTTGGACCAACCAAAGATGCTCTGAGTTAACCCAGCACCTCCAGGACACCACATGCCTGGGGACTGGTGGCCAAAATCGCCGAGCTCCATCCTCAGTGCTCACCTCTGGGAGGAGTTGGTCTGCTTGCGGCAGGGCACGGTGTTGCGCACACAGACCCCGGTGCTGGGGTCCGTATTCTCCACGATGACGAAGGGTCTCTCCTCCAGCGTGGCCACCGTCAGGTGGCGGTTATCGACCACAGGCTGCAGGAAGGAGCCGTACCGGGGCCACACCGGGTACTTCATGTGGATGATGCCCTTCTCCCACTTGCCAACCTACCCCAGAGGGAGAGCACACCGTCACCCTGGTGAGGGGCTCTGGGGGTCACTTGGGGTCCTGTGTTTGTCCTCCCTGTGCCTTTGGGACTCGTTTCTCCTGGCGCATTGTTAGGCTGGAGCTCAGCCGTGGTGAGCCCCATCCCAGCATCCCCTTCCCCGTGCACCAACGGACCACAGGGCAAGGTGTTTCCTCCAGAACCCCAAGCACCAGGCTTGGGTGAGCACAAACCTGGCCAAACTTCACACAAAATACTTTTGAACTGGAAATAAACCCCCCCTACGCAGCTCAAGTCTGGGCATTTGGCTGCTGTTCCCCAGAGGTGGGCAGCTGCATTTTTGCCTCTTTTTAAACTTTTCAGCCAAATTTCAGAGGAAAAAGACCCAGTTCTTGGCAGAGCTTTGGTGCCCGGCATTGCTGTGAAGACCCATCGCACCATCATGGGTACTGTTGGTACCAGCCATGGGTTTTGCATGGGACAACCGGCCCCAGTGTGGGACCCAGCCCGTGCATGGTCCCAGGCTCACCCTACCCAGCCACCTCCCCAGCATGCCTGTCCCGGGGGGGCTGGGGTCCTACCATCTCCCAGAGCCGGTGCTGGTTGAGCGAGATCACCACCATGGTGGGCCTGACCAGATAGCCGCCTTCATTGAAGGAGAAGTCTCTGTGCTCCCACGTCACGTTGAGGAGGTGCCTGCTGGGACACAACGCCTGTGAGCCCCTGGCGGTGCAGCTGGCCCTGTATAACCTTCCTCCTCCTCCTCCTCCGGTTCCATCTGGGCTGCCACAGGTCCCACAGAGAGACACGGGGCTGAGAGCTGGGGACCAGGTTCAGCCCCCATTGACAGGCAGTGGGGAGCTGGAGAAAGCCCTGCCGGCAAGGAGGCACCAGGAATGGACCACTGCGGGGTGGGGGATGCACAGATGCCACAGCAGCCCTGGGGTGCCATGTCTGTACTGCAAAGCAGAGCTGTGACCCCCCCCGAGACCCTCATGGGTTGCGAGTCACAGAGAACAACAGGAAAAGGCAAGGGCTGCTCTGGGGAGATGCTCCAGGAGAAACCCAGCTGAGAGGCACAGACCACCAGTTGCAGCCCGCAGTGAGCATCATCCCCCTGCCTGAGCTCCATCCTCCTCCCCTCCCCTGCCCTCTCCATTTCCCCATTCCCCCCATTTCACACCCACCCCAGCGGGTCCCTGGCCCTCACCGGTAGAAGCTGGTGTTGGTGGCAGCGGCCCTGGCAGGAGCCCAGCAGTCCCGTCCCACCTCTGGGAGATAGCCATGGGCCCGGAAGAAGCTGGCCGCCCCCATGGCGATGATGGCCACCCCATCCCGCACCTTCTGCCGTAGGCTCAGCTTCCAGCTCTCGGTCACCACGCTGATGAGGCCGACGGGGAAGGAGGCAGGCGGCACCTCCATGTTGCCCACCGTCAGGCTGGGCACGATCCAGATGTAGCCCGGCCCCACAAGGCCAGCTTGTTCGGCCATGGCAAAGAGGTACTCGGCTTCCTCCCGTGAGCAGTAGACAATGAGGACCTGGGCATCAATCTGCCGCAGGAGCCGCTGAGTCCTGGAGTTGCTCTGCTCCTGGCTCATCTCGAAGGTGAGCACCTCCTGCAGCTCCCAGCCGAAGTAGCTGGCGTCCGTGAAGGAGCGGATGACATCCAGGAAGATGTTGTAGCCCGGGTAGAGGCTGGTGATGACGGTGAAGGAGCTCCAGTCGTATTCCTCCAACACCTTGAAGATCACCTGGATTTGCTGTTCAATGGAGACACCCAACTGCAGGAAAGCTGAGCCGGGCTCCTGTGGGAGGAGAAGGGGTCAGGGGCTGCTCCAGCACCACGGTCCAGGTCTCCTGCACCCACAAAAGCCACCTTGAATTTGCCATCACGAAGGGTTCAAGGGAGCCATGAGCTGGTGTGGTCCATGGGCTGGAGACACCCAAGATGGGACTGATCCACCAGTGTTCTCCAAGGAACCTTATCGCATGCAAAGGGTCAAGCCCTGCAGCCTCTCCTCCGTTTCTCAGCTTGTTGACCAAAAATTCATCCATCCTCTGAAGGAGGCCAACAATTTCTCCTTAAACCAGGAGAAGGAGGGCGGCAAGAGCTCTGCCAGGAGTGAAAATGCCATCCTGGTTCCGACTCAGTCCCTGCTGCCGGAGCCCGTGCCGCTCCTTCCCCCCCGCCCCACCTCCCCAGCCATCTGGCCTCTCATTAGCAAACCTTAATTGATCTGATTCTGTCTTAAATGATTCAGCGAATGGCATTTGCAGAAGGTCACGTGCTGGCAGCAAGGCTTTACCATCTAGACCCCCTCCACCTCCAGAGAAGTAGTTTTTCCTACAAAGCTGGTGGTCCAGGGAGCCCTGGGGAGTCCCGGCTGGGGAGTGGGAGCTGATGGGGACCTCAGGCTCACGGGAGGAGGAGAAGACCAAGCCTTCAGGCACGTCCCTCCACCACCCCCAAAAAACCCAACCTCTGGCAAAAGCTGCAGAAAAACACTCAGACCACAGCAAAGCCATGTCTATCTTTTAGCCACCTCAGGCTCCACCTGAGCCCTCTGTGCCCACCTGAGTCAGCTGCACACACCCGAGTCCACTGCGCCCACCCGAGTCCATTGCACCCACCACCACCCACCCACAGTGAGCAGGTCCAGGAGCACCAGTCGGCGCAGGCAGGGCTGCCGAGGTGCCATCCAGGGGGTTTAGACCCCAAAAAGCTCTGGGCAAGCAGAGCATTGAAAGCAATGCCCCAGGGAGCAGCCAGGTCTCCGCCCCGGGGGCTGCTGCCCAGGCTGGGCAGGGTGAGAGGAGTAGCCAGGAGGAGAAAACCCAAACCTCCTCCCCAGGAGGGATGGGAACCTCACCGCAGCCCATCACCACCCACCCAGCACCCTCCAGCCCAGCTCCATCTCTCCCTGCTGCAGCGCTTCCCGGCAGGCAGATGATAGTGACAGCGACAGCGTCTGATGCTGGCAAGGAGCTGAGAAGCCAAAAATCCTTTTTGAGCCCATGGTGCACCCAAGGTCGCTCCCACAGCTGAGCAAGGCTCCTCTGTGCTGCCTGCCTGGACATTTTGGAGCTGGATCTGGCCCTGGCAGGGTGTGGAGGGAGGAGGATGGGGATGTGCCAACCCTGCCGCTGTCCTGGCAGCCCCAGTGACACGACCCGGCACCCCATGGTGGGCACAGCCGGGAGGGGACGGGGAGCAGGACACCAGGGAAGGTGGGAACGTCCCTCCACAGGGCACCGCACTCCCCCTCCACATCCCACCACCCCAGTCATCCACACAGCCACTGCCTATTCCTGCCGCATTCCAGCCCAGCAGCAGCTCTGCCCTCCAGGATTTCACATCCCAGCTCTGCCCCTCTCTAACAATCCCCCATTTCTCCCACCACCCTCCCAGAATAACCCCCAGCCAATGCCTCCCCTTCGGGGTCAGGACCACGGCAGACCCCCCGCTGATGCTGATGATGGGGACCTGGGTCTGGGAGGAGATGAAGTCAAGGATCTGAGCCACAGCCTCCGTGCCGACGTTGTCCTCGAAGACGATGCCGTGGATCTTATGGCTGGCGAGGATGTTGCAGATGTGGGTGAGCAGGGTGCTGGGGTTGGTATTGTTGATGACAACTGTGATGGGGTGGATCTCCAGGGGCATGTCCAGGAAGCTCTGAGGGC